CTGGTTCTGGTTCCCCTCCCCCTTCTTGGCCTGGTTCTGGTTCCCCTCCCCCTTCTTAGCCTGGTTCTGGGCTCCCTCTACCTTCTTGCCTTGGTTCTGGTTCCCCTCCCCCTTCTTACCCTGGTTCTGGGCTCCCTCTACCTTCTTCCCCTGGTTCTGGCTCCCCTCCCCCTTCTTACCCTGATTTTGGGCTCCCTCTACCTTTTTACTCTGGTTCTGGTTCCCCTCCCCCTTCTTAGCCTGGTTCTGGTTCCCCTCCCCTTTCTTGGCCTGGTTCTGATTCCCCTCCCCCTTTCTGCCCTGGTTTTGGGCCCCCTCCACCTTCTTGCCCTGAGCCGTATTAATGGCTGGGGCACTGGTCTTGGCACCCACTGGGGGCACAGCCACCATCGGCACCTCCTTGGGAGCAGCTTCCAAGATGGCTGACTTTGAGGCCAAAACCTGGATGGAATTCACTACTGAGCTGACTGCTGGTTCAACTTTGGCCACTTTTTTCTCCTTCTTCTTTTTGTCCTTTGGGGAGGAGCCCAGCTTCTCTTGGGGCATGGCTGGTACTGCAGCAACAGGGGTAAAGACCAGGGGGGCCTGGATGGGGGTTGGGGCCACAGCCAAGGCAGGAGTGCGTGTTGGTTCTTTGAGGAGGACGGTGACATTGGGGCCCAGGTCATGGTCAGGAATCTTCCCGTTTGGTTTCTCATCCTTTTTCTTGGTCTTTCCTTTCTTCTCCACGGTTTTCTCCTTCTTTTTCTTTTCCACTTTCTGGTAGTAAATTTTCGCCATTTCTTTGCGCTGGTTGGCGAGGGCCTCTTCATACGACGTTTCCTTCATGGAGAAGGTGGACACCAGGAAGATGCCAATGGCAGACACCACCATGAAGCCGCCAAAGACCATGACGCCCAAGGTCTGCGTGTCGTAGATATCCATCCTGGCTGGTTTTCTTTCCACCTGTCAAACACACACAAACATACCCACACACAGAGATTACATTTTAGACACACTGAGGCATCTAACAACTTCTATTTCTACCTTCTCTCCAGAAACATTTTTATTTTCTTTTCCAGTACAGGGGATTGTACTCAGGACCTGGAGCTTGCCATACAGGCACGGTGCCACTGACCTATATCCCAGCCCAAGTTTTACTAATTCTTGTTCCAGATTAAATTCAGAGTAGATGTCTTTGCAGCACACATTCTTACCTACTCCCCTTAAAATGGAGTCATTTTTACCCAAGATCTATGGAGTCCCTTCAATGCTGAGTGGGGGTCTGTCACCAGGGTCTTTCACACCCAGGAAACACCACAGTGGCGGCCACCAATTCAGGATGTGCCCACCCTGAGCACAGGTGTGAGATGGAAGTGGTAGCACTGGGGGCAGAAACACCCCACATAACCCAGGTAGGGGTGTCATACTGTTAACTGCCACAGAATGTGAGTCCTGAGCTGAAAAAGCTTTTGATTTCTCACAATGCCCCAAATCATCTCTCAATGTAAAACTGGCTGTCATGAGCCAACCCAAACATATGTGCATGCCATGCCTTCAGCCACAGGCATTCTGGAAGGCAGGCCCCTGGCACAGCCTTGCTATTCTGCTGCCTCCCTTTACACCCAAGAAACAGTTACCTAGGGTCAAAGACAGGCACTTCGGCGCCATACCCCTAGGAGGTGGCCAGGAGCTGGGTGAAGGAAAGCAGCCTTGGCCTGCACTAGCTCCTGTGGCCAGGAAGCCCACCCTCTGCGTACCAGGAACAGGTGGGATAAGCCTTGGGAAGCCACCAGTCTCAGAATACACAGGAGGGGACTGTCACCAGGCCCACTGGGACAACACCCCCTACAAGAGGGTGAACCCCACCATTCTCACTGCCTGTGGACCAAAGCCCAAAGGGTCAGTGGACATCAGGCCCGCACTTTCCTGGCTGGTGGCCCAGGCTTAGGTCCACTTCACTGAGGAATTCCAAGAGATACACCCAAGACTTAGCTCATGCTGATGTCTCATCAAGTCCCTGCCCCTAAGCAGTGCAGGCAGGGGGCAGAGGGGAGGATGAGGAAGGTGTAGGCTTTCCGGGGCCCTGCCCACCAGGAGCTCTGAACATGGGGAACCAGGTCCAGGTGGTTGGCAGCTCAGACACTGTAATCCCCATTCCTCCCAAAGAGGAATGGGAAGGGAAACAGAGAGGGACCTTCTAAATAGCAATCAAGAAATCCAAACTGGGGAACTAGGGCATTTTCATCTACAGAAGGGAAAAAAAGAATGAAGTCTCAACATCCTGCCCTCACAGCAGTTCCAACACAAGGCCTCCCTGGGTCTTTTCAATTAAGAGCCTTGAGAGGGTTGCAAGCTCTCACACTCTGGGTGTGCAATTGCTATGACACTCTCTCCTCTGACTTACTCCTCTGTCACCTTGGGCCTCCCAGGACCAGGAACAATGCTCCTCCTTATGCGAGGAACAAGGTGGCACTTGTGCTCCTATGGACCCAGACCGTGGCTGCAGCAAGTGAGTGTCCCACAGCCAGGACTTGCATGCAACAGTCAAGGCGGCTGGCCCAGCAGCCTGTCTGGGACATACTCCCAAATTCAGTGCCTCGGAGGGCCTTGCACCCTACTTGGCCTGGGTGGGGTTCCCTGGGGGCTCCATGTTGCCACTCACTCCTTGGTGGGGGGCCATGACGAAAAACCCTCCCGGTCCTCCTGAGGACCTCTTAGAGCTCTGCAAGGATCTCTAAACATGGACAGTCAGTCAAAAGATGCATGATAACTTCGATGTTTAGCTGATTGAGGTGACAAAAGTCCTCCAAAACATGCCCTTCTCCAGAGCAGACCAACGCCACTGCAGGGGCCGGGGTCATGCTGGCACAATCCCACCAACCACACACCTGAGGGTGACCTCTCGTGCATGGAGCTGCAGTTAACATGGGCCACCAGACCTGATGCAGCAGCAGCTGTGGACAAAGTGGGACCTGTTTGCAGTAGAGCACTGTGCAGCTCTGTGCTCTCCAATGTCTAAACTCCAGCAGAAAAGCCAAGGCTGGGAAATGAGCCTTTAATCTCACTCCTCACAGGCAAACACGAGGCACCAAAATACATTCTCTGTGGGGAGCTCAGCCTCGAGAAAAGCAATCTTGGGAGGATATTTTTCCTCTACAGTGCACACAAATGTATGTTTCACAGCAGCACAAATGTGTCTTCCCAACTTTTGCAGAACAAGCTGCTTTAAAAAGAAATTACATCTCCACTGCTAATTCCTGAGTTAGAATTTTTTAGAAGAACACTTTCACAGGAAAATGAAAAGCCCCAGTCTTTAGTAACACACTGCAGCACTTGTGGTAAAGACGGCGTCCATAAAACAGTGATGCAAGGGAATGAAAGACACTTTTCTACTGTCAGCCGGGCAGGGTGTGGATACATCCTGGGGACACAGAAAGCTGGGTATCTCAAATACTCTGAAGGTCAGCACCCCAGGCTTCACTGCTGAAGCCCGCACAGGGCCACACTAGGGAGCAAACGGCTGGGCCAGATGTGTGCCCAACACACCCCCTAGGGCCTGACCACAAGGAACCTCCACTGGGACAGCTCCATAGACACCCATGAAACGGACACTTTCTCACTCAAGCTCACTGATGCCACACACTCAAGAGTGCGAGGCAGACAGATGAGGCCTCTGAGGGAAGGGGGCAGGAGGCAAGCTCACCAAGTGCCTTTGGGGCTCCAAGAAAATGGCTCTTCTGCTCTTAGAATGGGGACAAAAGGAAGTGGAGGCCTCAACTCTTCAGACAGGCCTGAGCAAGCTGGGGTCCTCAACAGCACCTCTAAGTCTCCTCCTAGCAATGCCTGGCTGTTTCATGGGGGCCACACAGGATGCCAAGAAGCCCTGACCAATAAGTGGGCCAAGACCCTTCCAGACCCATCTCCTTTGGGAAGGCATAGAAGTGAAACAAAGTGGCACAGAAATGGAGCTTCTATACATACGGCTACACCAGAATCGGTATCTCATTTTAAAAAACTAAGCACTGAGCTTTCCTAACCCAAAAACCTGACATCTAAACTGCCCCAAATGCTGAAGTTTTCTGAGCAGTGATGTGGCTGGCACCACAAGTGGCAGATTCCACACCTGATCTCAAGGGCAAGTCCCAGGCAAAACCCAGGCATGGTGAGGATATTCCATAACACCACTTTGGGCAGTGGGCAGACCATGTGCAGGAAACAAATGAATTCAGTACTTAGACTTGGGTCCTATCAGCAAGATATCCCATTATGTATGTAAACATTTCAAAATCCAAAATGTGAAACACTCCTGGTCCAATTGTTCTGGATAAGGGATACTTAACCTGTGTTATGAAATAGTTTAGACATTCAGAGGAAAGAAGAATATGAATATCAGTTTACCCACTTCCTGGGTTTATCTAGACCTCCCACTTAACTTCACACAGCACACACACAAGCACAGGTCATCTTCAGCTGCCTATCTCTTCCACACATTTATGTTGTGTTACAAACATGAATTTCTACAAACAATGCACAATACTGCTTTGCATGCTAGTAATTGTTACATAAGGGACAAAATGGGTGTTATTTAGCTTTTTTTTTTTTTTTGAGACAGGGCCTCACTACATAGTTCAGACTGGCTTTGAACTCACTATGAAGCCCAGGCTGGCCTCAAACTCATGGTAATCCTTCCTCAGCCTCCCAAATTCTGGGATTACATGCATGCACCACCACGCCCGACCTTAGCAATGATTTCTGACTATATTTTCATTTGTTTTTGAGACAGAGATTATGTTGCCCAGGCTTGCCTCAAACTCCCCAGCTCCAGCAATCTTCCTGCATCAGCCTCCTAAGTAACTGGGACTACAGGCACACCTAAACTTTTTGAGATGTATTATGTAGATCCACATAACTTGTGCTCCTTTAATTCCAGTATTATGTAACTAGACCTCAAAGCATCCACACTCCTGCATACTTAGGTTTCTAAAATGTATGCCCTAGGCCAGGCATGGTGGGGCACGCCTGTGATCCCAGCACTCGGGAAGTTGAGGCAGGAGTACTGCTGAAAGTTTGAGGCCAGCCTGGACTACACAGTGAGTTTGAGGCCAGCCTGAACTACATAGTGAGACCCTGTCTCAAAATAAACCAAAAAAAAAAGTATGCACTTCACATGAAACTGTAGTGTGCCGGTTCTACCACAGAGCAAGAAACTGCCTTCATCCCATGCTCCCTGTCCCTAGGCGTCCAGTGCAAGGGAAGTTACTTCTCTCAAGAATGTCAGTCACACTTTTTGCAGTTAGGACCTCCCTCACTGTATGTTTACTTTGGTAGGTGACAAGGTGACAGGAAGCAGCACTTTTCAGCTTAATTACCAGCCCTTTCCCTGACCATCTCCTCCTTTCTCAGTGCCCCCCAGGGGGCCTGTTTGTGGATTAGGTGGATTATTTATAACTCAACACCATGCTTTAGTTTTAGCCAAAGGATCCCCTCCAGGACTTCCACTGAGATTTTTATCTGAATCACACGGAATTTACAGAATTTACAGGTAAACCCAAGAAGGGCTGACATCTGTAACTGCAGGAACTCCTTCCTCGCTCACATTGATTTAAACGTGTTCTTTCATACTTTTGCAAAGTTTTCATGATTTCCCCTGTAAAAGTCTTCCATACATTTTTGTTGTCGTTAAGATAATCGCTGTTTTTAAATGTTTTAGAGAAAAAAGATCTTTTGTAAATTAAGTTTTTCTATTTTCCAGATATAGACAACCAGCAAAGTTACACACTTTTTCCTCCTTCCTTGTCTTCATCAAAGTTACACATTTCTGCATACGGATCATTTACTCAGCCGTTATTATGCTAAATTCTAGTCAAAGCTGGGAGTTTGTGGATGTAGATTGATTTTTTTTCATTAAAAAAACACCTGGAAGAAGCCAGGCGTGGTGGTGTACGGGCCTGTAATCCCAGCAC